TGGTGACATTTTACGTGCGTGTCATGATGAGCCATCGTCCGGACACCTCGGCTATACGCGCACGCTGCAACGGATTCAACGCTCCTACTACTGGCCACGTCTCGCAAAGACTGTGAAGCATTACGTTCGCACATGTCGCAACTGTCAGCGACGTAAGGTTCCACCTTTACGACCAGCGGGACTACTGCAACCAATAGGCCACCAAAGGCGCCCTTTCATCAGATTGGCATGGACTTGCTGGGGTCATTCCCCACGTCTTCGTCTGGAAACCGGTGGATTGTGGTCGCTACAGACTACTTAACACGCTACTGTGAAACGAAGGCGCTTCCAAAAGCAACCGCAGCAGATGTCGCCCAATTTTTCGTGAACAGCATCGTCTTACGTCACGGTGCTCCAGCTGTCGTCATAACTGATCGTGGGACAGCTTTCACCGCAGAGATGCTGCAGGAAGTCTTGCGATTAAGTGGCACGGAACATCGTAAAACAACGGCTTAGCACGCGCAAGCAAACGGGCTGACTGAACGACTCAATAAGACAATTGCAGACATGCTGTCAATGTATGTGGACATCATTCACAAGAACTGGGACGCCATACTTCCCTACGTAACTTTTGCGTATAATACTGCTGTTCAAGAAAGTACCGGTTTCACACCTTTTCGCTTAGTCCACGGTCGCGAGGTCACGACGATGCTCGACGCCATGCTCCTGCCCGACAACTTAGGAATATACCGCACCGATGCCGCCGAATTCGCGCAGTGTGCAGAAGAGGCCCGTCAAATTGCTCGTCACCGTATTCAACATCACCAAACCGCAGACGCACGCCGCTACAATCTTCGTCACCGTGAAGTTATTTTCAAGCCCGGTGATGAAGTCTGGGTGTCGACCCTATCCGACAACGTGGACGTTCAGAAAAGCTTCTTCGCCGCTACTTCGGCCCTTACAAGGTCGTACGACGTCTCAGCGACGTCACATACGAGGTTCTCCCAGAAGGCACTTCTAGACGTTCCCGTTTCAACCCGCGAACTGAAGTCGTTCACGTTTCACGGCTGAAACCATACTTTTCGCGCTGTGAATCGCCAGTGAGTGACTGACTTTATTCGTCTCTCCCTTACATTCTTTCCTATTTTTCTTATTTCTCATTTAACTCCTGGCTCCACAACCAACTATGTTATTCCTCCTTACGCCATTCATTTTGCTTGCATGGTAATTTTCATCTCATTTTCTTTTTTTCTTTTTTTTTTTGCCTTCATGTACAGCATCGAGACGATGCTTCTTGGGAGAGGGGGTAATGCCACCATTGATGAACGAGCCGCTGTGGCTCATACCCGTTTTGGGCTACGAAGAAGAAGAGAACGTTTTCGTTGCTCTGGTTCGGGTGAACTCCTGGCTGCAGGTCTTGTTTTTGCTCGCGACAATATGAACGACACGCTTCACAAAGGAAAACATTTACAACAGAACAGAACATGGTTCCTTATATAGAGTTGAGATCGGCTTAACTCTCTAGAACAACAGTGCGCTATGAAATTATTTTTATAATTCAGTTCAAATATTCAAATAAACTTCCTTTGCTTAAATGTATTCCTGAAGGCGCTGATTTTCCTGCCCACCCTCTCCAACAGGTGCAGCATCACAGCTTCAAAAAGCTAGTCACATCTGACTACACATCTCGTGGGACCATATAAATTTTATATATTATAAAAAACCCACCACTTTAACTGCATGTGACGAAATAATATGAAGAATAACAATGATCACGGTAATAATGTCAACACAAGGTATAGATTATCACCAACCTTATAAGCATGAACATCACAACATACTTCATTCTGGTAATCAAGTTTCTCTTAACTGAAATGACGCGACACGAGCAACTGGGATTAACGTCAAGCTTCGTTTAAATGGTATTCGTGTTGCATGCACTTCAGACTCTCTTTCACTCGTCGATTTTGGGAAAGGAGCGTCACAAAGAATACTTTATTCAGGAGGAGAACGGTATAGTTAAGTAAAATTGCTGTGTCTAGCCGGGCTCGCCAACCTGCTTCGTCACGGATCGCTTTGAAATAGCCTGTATAATTTGTTAGACCCAACAATTTCGAGGCAAGTTCGAGGAAGATGAGGCCTTGTGTCACGACAGAAACTCCAAGTCGCACAAGAAACAATGAGCAACAATCTCACTACAATAGAACGCAACTACGCGTGCTTCGGAGGGATGGTTTGAAATTACGTAACTACACGCAACAACACCAATGTCAAGGTTCTGGTGTGCACGGCACTCCTCGAGCGCCATCTTGTATTCTTGCCAATGAACTGCCGGATCCAATCTCCATCGCCTCTTTCCGGCGTAGACATACGACATTTTCAGAAGAAAGCATGCATCCACAGGTCTCTCAATCATAGTCCTTCCTTAGTTTTCTTAAGGTATTTTTTTAATGCCACCCGAAATTGATACATTCCTAAAGCAAAGCTTTCATACGTACGCTTTTTTGCATACTTGATTTTGTTTACTCAACTCCACGCGGCCCGCCGTGTGCTAGGGCGCACGCCTTCGGACTTGTCAATAAAGTTTTTCCAAACCAAACCAAACTCCACGCTCGCTGTACGCGCATGCAAGTGATGCAGCGCGCGTGTTTTCAAAATTCCAGACTCCTTTAGCAATGGCGGTACGAATGTCGTACCGGGTGCTGATATTTATTTACATACGGACGGGAACATTGGCGATGCAGAGATTGCTGTCTATCTTTCTCTCTCTTTGTCACACACACACACACACAGAGAGAGAGAGACTAGAAAAACGCAGCGCATTTGACGACGGTCAACAGCAACAATAAAAAGTCAACGACTTTATTTTTCTTCTCTGTTGACTGTATTGATCCTGCACATTCTGCACCTAAACTGGTTTTGCGGCGTCTTCGGGATCGGATTCCTTTCTGCGGGCCACTGGGTTTTGCTGATCTTGTGAGATCGGTGCACGTTTGACAAAAAAAAAAATGTGGCATGTTTTGATATCATCGTGTGACATCACAGTGACGGCATAGAGTGACGTCACCACATGGTTTTTTTTTTTTAATCGTGCGTCACTCAAGTTGACGCCGATGTCACTTTTCGCATTTGATGGAGTATCTGAGGCTTTCTTCTTCAAAAATTATTCCACAAAACAGAGACGAAAAAAAAATTATCGTACAAGGTTATCAAAGCACACCGTAAGTGAGATAACGAGGAAGAAAAAGCGTGTGTATCCTCTTTCACGTTTTATCCGTTGTATACCGTGTCCGTCGGGTGGCCAAGCGAATTTCTCACATTTCTACAAAACGAGCAGATGAACGTCATTCTGTGCCATTCTAAAATCACCGTCGCACCAAAACAAGTTGGTTAACACTGCATCGTCATTGTTCAGCTCGCACCGTGACGTTAGAACGACATATTACACGTAGCGTGCGTTACGACGACGTGTATCCTTACTAGTACCACGATGCTGTAAATGTTGCCATGCAGTGCATTTTGAGTTCGCTTGTATACGTTAGGGTCCGAAGCCGTAGAGATTGATGCTGAGCAGAGTTCGTGGGTCTGACTCTTGTGGAATTTCAATTCGCAGTGGTTTTTAGTTGAAAAGCGCAGCTAATACGACGAAGTAGCAAGTATGTCTCAAACTACGTTGAATCTTCGCAAACACGAGCTACCCGGCACCAACATACAAATACTCTATTAGAATATAAATGTAACAATGATGCGTTTAAATACTCTTTTTTTTCAGTTGCCACCCACGAATGAAATTTGTTAACCCCTTTCACCACTAATGCCCAGTCATTGTGCGATTTCTTATCAAGAATTGAAAATAACGTCTTTTAGCGTCCTTGATATGTCTGCTTTTCTGTGACATGCAAACCAGCATTCACTTGTATTTGGTGTGTATGGTGTGCATAAGTGCTGATTGTATGCTTCAAGGTTGCTGATTTGTATTTTTACACATTATTTACCAATTTACGATCCTGAAAGTGTTAAGTGCTCTTTGTAACTGTATACTGTAGTGCCCACCTGCTATGGTCTCTTTGGAGACTGGCAGTATTGTGAATAAATAAATAAATAAATGTAGTGGTTGTATTTGGGTGTTAAATGTGTCACGGCAGCATAACAGTTTGTGTAATAATGATGTAGCGTCAGATATCATGGGTTCTAGAGGTGGTAATCGCCACCACGCTTTTGGAGTGAACGGACACGGCAGACGCGGTCTGAACAAACCAAGCAATACACGCTTATTTAACTACTTGTACTAATTCGGCTGACGATATCGTCGCTCAAAAGTATAGTTAAATGAATGTGTATTGTTTGGTTTGTTCCGACTGCGTCTGCTGTGCCCGTTCAATCCAAAAGCGGGGGGCGATTACCATCTCTAGACCACACAATATATGAATAAAACTAACTAATATACATGATTTTGTTTAGCTCTAAGCATCCAGCGATGGCATGTGGTAGTTTATATATGAAATAGGAGTTTGTAAAAGTTATGCAAAAGGCGCATACGTGCAGGCTTTGAGTGGACTTTTATCAAACGCAGCATGGTCGAAAACTGATGCCTTCCGCCTCAACGCATTTTGTGGCTGAAGGACTCGTATCTGAGACACAAAGCCGGGTCACACGGTCGATCAATGAATGAATGAATGAATGAATGAATGAATGAATGAATGAATGAATGAATGAATGAATGAATGAATGAATGAATGAATGATGCACGTGCGAGGTCAGGGGTCCAAAAGACACTTGGCTGTATTATAGTGTGCTGTGCAGAAATAAACGGTGTCATGCTATATCCTCGTAGTTCTGCCTCTACTTCGCAAAAAGTATGCAACAGAACCAACGTCGCATCAACTATGCTTTACCTAACTCTCTGTCTGTCTTCCTGTACTCCGCGGATTTCATCAGAGCTCATTTTTCATACACAGGAGACATTGTATAAACAAGTCTCAATGTAAACATTTTTTTTCTCTCCTTTGTATATGACGTAGATGCCGAGGTACAAGAGAACAGATTTCGAGGATGAGGAGACGAGCAGCGCGAGCAGCATGCCCGTGGACGCCACCGGCAGCTCCACGGTGCTCACCGACATCAAGCCCGGCCCCGGGGGCGGCGGCGGCGGCAGTTCGGCCACGGCCGCCATGCTCAACCCGCTCGGCGTGCGATACTCGGTGTCCGGCGGACACCGGCGCACATTCTGGCAGCGGGCGTCGCCCCTGGAGCGCTTCCTGCTGGCGCTCGTCGGACTGCTCACCTTCGTGGTGCTCGTCCTGTCCATCGTGATCAGCGTCAACACGGGACGCGTACGAGAGAGGATCATCGAGCGAGTCGTCGAGCCCTCGCAACCAAGTGAGTGCAAGGACTCTCTTGTATACACCTCCTTCGCAGGTATTGAAGCATGCAAATGCGTCATATTTTCGGCCCACGGCAAAGCACCGTCTGTGCGTTGTGCGCCACGAAAGCATCGTTGACGTTCTTGTGGGCCACGAGCCTTAACGAAACTTTGTAAGCAATGCAGTCGATGTGTATGTGACTGCATGTGATGTTATGTGTTTGTCAGCGTGTACATATCATAATCATCATATGGCACCTGGAGTAAAACAAGCATGTCAGGCAAATTGATAGGGTGACATTTTTAGTACTTCATCCAAAAATTTATTTCTCTCGGCAATAGACCGGTATTTTCTGACAGATGACGCCGAGATGCAAGCGCTTCGATTTCTTTCGTTAGATTCTCATCATCATCATCTCGTCTACGCCCACTGCAGGGAAAAAGCCCCTCCCAACCTGCCTTCGCGCTACACGCCTTAATCATGCCTACTTCTTCTTGACTTCGACTGAGAAGTCTTGTATCCATTCTAAAATCAGTGCAGTCGTACCAATCGTAGTCATTGATGTTCTAAAACACGAATACCACGCTTCTGTTGTTCCCAATACACTCTTCGGAAGACCTTTCCAACATGAAAGTGACATTTTCTCAAAGAAAAAGATAATGAAAAGAACTTGTGATAACCACAACATGCGTCTAACGCTTCTCTAAAGGCATTCGATCGTGCACAACACGAGAACGAATCACGCCTTCGCGAAGTTATTCCAAATCGCGTACAAACGGGGCATTGAGGGGAGCACACAACACAGGCACTGACTGTGTTGTGTGGTCTCTTCTGTATCCGGTTTATGTGCTGTTTGGAATAACTACCTGTACAGTCGACCACAAAAGTTTACGGACCACGCGAACACGTGGCGAAAAGTCTTTTGTGTTTAGAAGAAGTGGTTAACAATCTACAGTACTTGGTACTGTACCATGGGAGAGCTGAATGCCGTCTCACGTGCTAGTGTCGGCTTTACTGGTTTTCGCGACACTTCCGCTGTGTCGGCGGTGATAGACTGCACTTCGGCACCCGAGCAGCATCCTTCCCTCGATTTACATGGCCTGTCTTTTCTGACTATGTACCAACAATTTTCACCTTTCACTTTCTAACGCGAGGCACGCCTTTAGGCATCTGCGTCTACGTGTTTCTGCCTCGAGAGCAGTCTATGCGCATAACTGTTATCAGTCGCAGTCTTGATCACAAAGTGATACCTGGCCTACGGAACGTCGTTCGAGGCACGCCATGATATCTTTGATCCTGCTATGAAAATAGAAACGTTATGGTCATACTACAGATAATCGGTCTGCGTGGAAGCTGCTAACTAACAATGCACTACGCGGCAGTAAAAAATTGAAAGGCTAGTGAATAGTAAGAAGGGCCGTTTCTGGCCTAGCACTGTGGTCGACGGAAGATGGCGCACCGCTACGTGGCGTGGACAGGCACTTTGGCGCTCGCTCGCGTGGTCCGCAAACTTTTGTGGCTGACTGAACGTGCCGACAAGTCCGCCTAACCAATGACACCTAAAAATAATTTCAGGCCTGCTCACTGCCGCCGTGACGTCACTCGTTTTGCCCGAGCGAGCGCGCGTATACGGGAGTCCCTGTGAAGCCATTGTGTCACCATCGTCTCCCGTTAAGAGATAAAGCGTACGCGGCGAGTTTTACATGCTTAGCAGCTTTATTCTGCCTTTTGCGTCCGAAAAGATGGTTTAAGTAATGTGTTAAACTTGAAAGCGTTGGGAGATTTATCTGCGAGCTATTTCTTCCACGAAAAAGTAAGAAAGATTGGGCCCTATCGAACGTGTGGTCGATTTATGAGAGCAAAATTCGATGGCCCAGCAAGGGGGGGGGGGGGGATAAACAAAAGGAAGGAAGGCAGGGAGGTCAACCAGGCACATGCCCGGTTTGCTACGCTGGGGGAATAGGAAGGGGGCATAAAGATGAGAGAGAGAGGAAAGAGAAGAGAAACAGAGAGAGAGAAAAAAAAAGGAGGATTGTCAGTCAATCGGCTGGCGCGTATGCGGCGGTGGCACTACACAAAAGTTAAAGGTGGTCACGTAGGCCTGTAGTCCTCAAAAAGCACAAGACAGCTTTGACTGCTTTCTGAGCCGACAAAAGGCGATGACGGTGTTCCAGTAGCATCTGCACAGAGAGTGGCCGATCGTCCAATGGTCGCAATGCGTCCGAAAGCTTCTGTCTTTCAGAGGGAAATCGATGGCGCAGCAAAGTGATGAAATAAGTAAGGTAAATTGTATTCATGCTGTCTTTATTTACAGACACGCCCACGCACGCACATCTAGAATATGCAATAAAGCTGTTCCTACTCATTCGCAAAGCGTTTGCAGTTTTAGTTCTAGTCTTTCGACGAGCGTCTGTCATTATAGACGTGAAGTTACGGAATAGGTTGTGTGCTGCTTCCACGAGTATGTTATTCAGCACAATATCAGGGTAATGACCATTTCAAGAGAAAAGAAAATCTTTCGTTTCACGAAAATTTCTTGTGGCCGACACAAGGAGCGGCGTTAATTTTGCTCGTTCGGTCTGGCCCCTCTCGCACTGTTGCGTAGTCGCTCATATAACTTGGGGCCCGGGTAAAATGTTGGTACTGGGTCTAGATTAAACCGTGTAGCCCGCGTGGGCGCTTATACTGCACTGCCGGTACTTGGATCAGTATGTTTGGTAGTGGTTCTGAAATATTCTAGGTTGAAGTGGGAGCTCACACGCCTGAAAACCATCGCTTTGCCGTAAGTGTCTAAAGGCATCGAAATATCAAGGAAACTTATTAGGTGGAGGTGCTGGCGAGACTGGCGCAAAATTATGAGACCGCAATAAAGTGGTTGGAACACAGGCAATAAAATAGTATTTACAAAGTCGATGCACTAAGCAATGCAATAGCATTCCTTCTTTTTTTCGGGGGTAATGCAAGAAATCCGCGGTGCTAATCGCCAATAGCAAAATGTTTACCGACGCTGTTGGAAAAACGCCGGTTGTGAAAATGTACTGCCGCGCGCGTTTAGTATTTTAATGCCAGGCCTTACGCTAAGTGAGAAGCACACACGGCAGCTTTATTTTAGTGCGAAAATGGAACATGGTGGAGATAATGCCACTGGAACGACTTCTAAATATGTAGTACGGGCACACGTATACCTTCGGGTCACGAAGAAAACGGATGTCGACGTCAGCTCGACGAACGACATGCTCCCATTTCGTTCTTCGGTTGTCCTCAGGAAATGTGAACACTCGCAACTAAGGTGCACTTGCCGCGGCAATTCACCCAGCAACATCGGCCAACCTTTCGGATTTGAAGCCGTACACAATGCGAATATCCAGTCAACGCCTTCGCTATTTTATCAATGCCAGCCAGATCGGCCCGATTCACCGTTCACTACCCTCTCCCCTCGCCCTTTCCTGCTCCCTCCGATCGCCTAGCCTTCGCGTGTGCTTTGCGGTCACGGGGGAGAGAGCCCCTCATGCAGTGCCTCATGACGGAAATCTTACGAAGTTTTTTTTTTTTTTTTCAGTTGTGTACAGATTAGTGGGACGGCATCTTGTATTCTTCGTGTTCACAATTTTAGTGGTCACAAAGGTTATGTCAAAGATACGGTGTTTTGAGATAGTAGAGAGTTTTAGTACTGCGTACGCTGCGTACGTGGCGGCGTTGCGTATGTAAGGACGCCATGTTCTGCGTAGTGCGCATGCGCAGACCGCAACTCGCACGTATCGCGTTACGTACGCAGCCGCTACGTACGCACGCATGAGATGCGTGCGTGCGTACGTATAAGGTGATCGCGCCGCTCTCGAACAAGTTCGCGACAGCGCGAGACTTCGTTTTGCAAAATGGCGGCATCGAAGGCAAGCACCGACCGGCTCTGTGGCTTAAAATATGGCCATAATCTGGCTATAACACTTGGATTGGCTCACATTGGCTGTCAACAACACGTGCTTCTATTTTGATATACCAGATGGCGCAACAGGCTTCTCGCTCGTTACGTACGCGGGTACTACGGCGTACTAAAAGCCGATTAGTGGCAAAGGACGCCACGTAACGCAAGGCGCTTGCGTTATGCGTACGTAGCACCATTCCTCAGTACTAAAACTCTCCAGTGTGTCGCCGTTCATGGTGATATGCGGGTAACCCATGAAGAAGCGTCCCTGCAACACTTCTGCATGCACTGCTCTGTGGCGCGGCGGTGGCATAGCTTAGAGCGACAAAGTAGCAGCCCGAAGGAACAAATCTGGCAGACGTGTAATAGTTGTGGGAAACATGTCTATCGCATCAACGGGGGAAAGTGCTCGGAAGCATGCGTGACGCAAGCAGCGCTATCTATCGTGTAGCGTCACATCACGAGCACTCCCTGAACTAAGCAGGACCGACGGCTCACATTGAGAAGCGCGCGTTTGCACTGGTATTGAAATAAATAAATGAGCCGTTGATACAGTGCCCAAATCGCATCACATATCAACGCTGGAGTTTACGGACACAGAAAAACACGGTCTTCTGTATATAGTCGCCAACAACCACACCAGCACGCCACGAAAACGATCGTCACGCTTGACAATCCATGTTTGTCGAGAGCGACGGGAGCAAGCGTAGGCACGTCTGTGCAGCGAAACACGGCGGTCTAAACGGACTGACGTCAGGACCCGTGGCAGAAACAGTGAACAGGCCTGAAATTCTCTAGGTGGCATTGGTGTGGCCACCCTTTCGGTCTTCGCAAAGCCGCGCACTACAGTGTCGAGCAGTGTTCAGATGTTTCCAATTTATTGGCTCAATGAAGGGTTATCATCTTCAGACATCTCAACGAACCTGCCAGCGCTTCGTTCTAGGGCAGAGACATACCCGAATGTAGGAACAGCGCAACCTAGAAGCAGTTCATGCGTGAATACGGAAGCGAAACATTCAGTTATGTGCCTACATTCAGTTATGTCCTATCAACTTCCCAAGTTTCCACGCTTCATAACAGATATACATACATTT